TAATAACGACAGAATTATTCAGATTAAATGAAAATAACTAGAGTATGGGCTAGGCCCAAACAGCTCAATAATGTTAACTTTCTAATCCTCCCCCTAAGCTGGAGAATAAATGTTAATCATTCCCAACTTGCTCATTAAGCTTTCAAACTGGGCTTTGCCAGGGACTTGGTAAGGATATATGCAATCTGCATCCTTGTAGGCGTGTACCTTACTTCAATTTCTATAAGTTGTAATTGCATTTTCTTCTCTGAGGGAAATTATGGCCTCTTGAATACTTTTGATGCACTACAAATGAAGATTCTGGTCCTCTGTGCTTGCTTCTTCTTTTGGGCTCGTTGTCTTGGAGATTATAGAACCAAAGGATTGATGTTTGGACGATGAAAAAAGATGAGCTTCCTTGGTTTGATGTTGTGGGCAAAGCCACGGGTGCCCTGGAAGGTGTTCTGGACGAATTTGTTTTGAATTGTTAGGACTCACCACACGAATTCCCCTTCTTGGTCATCACCCATGTTTAGAATAGAAGGCTGCAATGACACCCAAAACCCCCAACAAAACCAAACAATGTTTTTCTCCATGTGTGATTGCATCAAATGCCTTCTGGATGTTAATTTCTTGGAGTCAGGCTGACTTCTTGCATCTTGAAGTGTATTGGGCATGGTATTGAAACTTGGACCGGACCGGCCAGGCCAACCTGAAAACCGGTGACCTGGTCCCTTGTTCGGTCTGGGTTTACTCCTAAACCAGTGAGGGAATGAACCGGTGTAACCCAGTCAATCCGGGGTCAACCCGGTATAACCCGGTATTATTTTTCCAGACAAAACCGTTTTGGGGGATTTTTTTTTCATTTTGATTTCCCGAGCGCTGAGTTCGGAAATAAGATAACCAAAAAAAAAGTGAAACTGAAGTCAAAAAATAAAAAAATTAGAGGCAGAGCACGCCAAGTCCAATCCAGATTTTCAGACAGCATTCGATTCGGCCTTTCGTCTGTGTCTCTCCTCTCTCGCCCTAACCTAATCGGCGTCTCTTCTCTAGTTCAGTCTTCGTCTCTTTCCAGGCTCCAACTCTATTTCCGTCTCTTCTCGAGCTTAGTCTTTGACTCTCCGTCTCTGCTATCTCCATCTCTTCTCTAGTTAGTCTTTGACTCTTCGTCTCTTCTCTAGCTCTATCTCCGTCTCTGCTGTCTCCGTCTTTCTCCAGCTCTGTCTCCATCTCTTCTCTGGACTTTTGAGATTGAAGGGTGTAGCTTGTAATTGTAAGGATAGATATTTAAAGTGTTGTATTTTATTATTGTTAGACTTTTGAGTGGTTGGATTGGTTTGAATGTTTTTATAATTAATGTCTTTTTATTTAAATTGTATTATTTTAAATCATGACCGGTTTGCCACTGGTTCAACCCCTGATTCAACCTTGATTGAACCACTAACCCGTGACCCAGTGTCATGACTGATTCAATGACCGGTCCGGTTTTTACATGCTTGGTATTGGGCATCAAAATTCAATTAGACAGTGGCAGTGGCAGCCCTCATTGGCCTAGACCTAAACGTGATTGTCTACCACCTTCACATTTTACCAGGATGGACTTTCCAAGATTCTAGAAAGCCTAGATGGTGAGAGCTTGGATATATTCTCCAGGGCATGAAACCTCTCATTATTCTGATATGCCTTTCTTTGTTGCGCAGCTTGTGAATGTGTTTCAGGCATACAAGGTGAGGAAAGAGGCTCTGGATACCATAACTGAAATGATAAAAAGAGAGGAAGAGAGGAAGAAAGAAAGAGATAGGGGTCAATAGAAGATAAACAGAGGAGAATTGAGTAGTGCTTAGATGTTTTATTGATAGCACCACGGCATACATCTAGGTCTAAGCCTCTTATTTATATATTAGTCCCTTAATTGTCAGAACTACCAAGTCCTAATTAACTCTTCTAATATTAATAGTGTACATTTACATAATTTTCTTATAACTGCAATGATAGCTTACAATCTCTGCTTTAATTCTTATGGTTGGTCCTGCATTGTGGTTTAATTCTATGCTGAATTACCTTCCATTTATTATATTGTATGGTTATATTTGTGCATCTATCCAAATGAAGTTTTCTGTCATGTCAACAGGGCTCCCATTGGTCAAGCATATGGCTTGACTGAAACATTTGCTGGGGCTACCTTCTCTGAGTTTGATGACAGCAGTGTTGGACGTGTTGGTCCTCCTCTTCCTTGTGGCTACATTAAGGTGCTCCATATATCTCATTGTTAATGATGATTTAATTTAGTATCAAAACCATACTTATTTTTCAGGATTATTTTTTTTCTGGACTGTAATCATGATGGAAGATATTTAATGCCAAGTTTAGTATTTTATACCATGTCAGAAATTTATAAATTTCATATTTCTAAATCGTACTGGAACATGCAACTGGCTGCTCTTCAGCTGTCAATGCGGAAATAATTGAACTCGGTTCTTATTTCTGGATGTGTAGCTTGTTTCTTGGGATGAAGGTGGATATATGACATCAGATAAACCAATGCCACAGGGAGAGATTGTAATTGGGGGGTTCAGTGTGACAGCTGGCTACTTTAAGAATCCTGAAAAGACTAATGAGGTGTTCAAGGTAAACTTAAAAACCTAGGTTGTAAGTATGTCTCTTTGAGATTTGTCTTGAAATATTCTTGAATCTTATCCTGCATCTTATAAGAAGCACTTACAATTGTGAATTTGGTACAGGTTGATGAGAAAGGTATGCGCTGGTTTTATACTGGTGATATCGGAAGGTTCCATCCTGATGGATGTCTTGAAATTATAGATAGAAAAAAGGATATTGTCAAACTTCAACATGGAGAATATATCTCTCTTGGGAAGGTGACTTTGTCTTATCATTCTTGATGAACTACTTACACAAGGCTTATAGAAAATTAATCTGCATCATTTTTTTGTGTTCTGTTCTAACTTCATTGCAGGTTGAGGCAGCACTGTCGACATGTAGTTATGTGGATAGTATTATGGTTTTTGCAGATCCCTTCCACAACTACTGTGTGGCTCTCATTGTTCCTTCACGTCATACTCTGGAGAAATGGGCCCAGCAAGCTGGTGTTTCGCACACAGATTTTTCTGAGCTGTGTGATAATCCTGAAGCGGTCTCTGAGGTTCAGCAGTCCCTTTCCAAGGTTAGTTAATATGAATCAATTATTTGCAGAATGTACATGACACTTCTTACAATTTCTAGATACCTTTGGGTGTGTTTGGTTCAGCGGAGGGGAGGGGAGGGGAGTTAATGATCCTTATTTGATTTAATTTGATGGGAGGGGAAGGAGTATATTAATGAAAATATGTTAATTTTATAATTTATCAATGTATATTTAATGAAAATATATTGAAATTTAGTTGAAAAAGTGTTGAACCAATATATTAGTGTTATTATTCAGCTGATAAAGGTTTTGTGCGTCTGGATATATTTCCTCTCCTAAGTTCCCAATTTTATTTTTTACAACTTAAGTGTGAGATAGTTTCATATAATTTTTTATTTTTAGGGGAAGTTGTTTTTTCTTTTGATTATTGAAATTTTATGCATAAATGAATTATTTATTAAATTTAATTAGGAAATGAAACTTATTTTATTATAAGAATGAGGGGCAAAAGGACTTAATTTTTTTAATATAATAAATAGTTTAGAATTTTTAGATGACATGGGGCCAATTTAGTCAAATATAATTTTGCCTTCCCTTCCCTTCAATTTGAAAGCAAACAAGAGCTCTCCTTCCCTCCTCTCTATTTTTTTTTTTAATCAAACAAACAAGGGGAGGGAGTTATTAGTTAGTAACCGTTAAGGGAGTTATTGTGTCAGCAACGATATAAAAGAAAAAAGAAGTTGGGGGGGGGGTGGGGGAGCGTGTAAATCAGAATTGTTTTTGGAGTAATCTCAGACTCAGAAGTATTATTCAGTTCTATCTCTCTCTCTCCCCCCTATTCTTTCTGCCACTACACCACACACATTCATGCTGGGAAGAAAATACTTGATGTTGAAGGAATATTTTCCTGGGTCGGCCACTCTCTGGGACTCTGGAATTATATTGATTAAATTTGCACGATGAGTATTTCTACACTATGCGAAGTCTAATTTCTGTGTCAAAGAGGAATATCCCTTTTTTTGGGAAGTGAATCAAATATAAATTAATAAAAAGTGAAATGATACAAAAAGGAAGAATAAAGAGTGTTTTAACACCCGACAAGATTCGAGGAGAAGAGTCCAGTTGAGAAAAGAAAAATAGCACTACTATAAGACCAAGAGGAAAAGACAGATGATGTGTTATTTCTTTCAGTCTCCTGGTTGATGTGTGATACGGTTTTGCAGATGTGCTTAGAAGGTAGTGTTCTTTCGAACTCTGTAAAATGGAACTAATGACTTTGTATAAGCTGTTTAAGACAGATGATGTGTTCTTTCTTTTAACCTCCCCTTCCCTTTCCCTTCCTTTGGATGGAGAGAAAAATATAAAGGAAGAAAAGCTGAAGAGAGAAATGGTAAAAAAAAAATTGTTATATTTTTTAAAATTTCTCTTTCTAGTTTTCTCTTCTTTCTATTTTCTTCTCACTTTTTTCTCCATCCAAACCAAGCCTTCGAGTGGCCTGATTCTCTTCTTGATGATAAGCCTGGCTGATGTGTGCCCCTGCTGTAATAAGGCATTATTTCCATTTGAAGTGATGCGCCTTCAGCTTTGTAGAATTACTATTTATATCCAATGAATTATAAATAATTTTTTTATGTTCTTGACATTGACTGACTTCTTTCATTTTAATTCTTCTCAGGCCGCAAAAGCTGCAAAACTGGGCAAAACTGAGGTTCCGGCGAAGTTTAAGTTACTGCCAGATCCATGGACGCCTGAATCTGGGTTAGTCACTGCCGCTCTCAAGATAAAAAGGGAACAGCTGAAAGCCAAATTCAGACATGAGCTCCAAAAGTTGTATTCCTGAATGCTTCATTTGTATGCACAATTTTGGCAAAGGAGCAAAAATGCCTAATAAATTGTTGGCTAGGAGCATCAAATAGCTTGAAGTGAGGAAAAAGTGCACGGGTATTCATGAAGTTATTTTTTTGGTACATCTGTGATTGAACCATTGTGTAAATATGAAATTTAATGGTTTGCTCACAAATACATCAAAAAATAAATTCATAGGTACTTGTACAGTTTTTCTCACTTTGAACTATCGATTGTTTCTATCTAACAATTTCTTGAATATTTTTTTTCCTTTGCCCTTTAATATGACGTTTGATTTTGTTTTATAATTTTTTTTCCTTTGTGGATAATCACTTATCTACGCTATTTATGAAATAATGACTGTAATATCTTAGCTTTTTACTTTTTTAATATATTAAATTTTGGTTATCTTTATCTTATTTGATGATGTATATAGACGGGGATGAGCATGATAGAATTTTAAGGGATGGATAGTTTATGCTTAAAAAAATGAGTTTATGATTGTTTAAAGATTCTATGAAAAAGTGATTTATTGTCATGAGATTTCATAAAAAGCAACAATTTTTTTTTTATCTTTGGTTGCAATGGTTAAAAAACTAATTTATTATTTAGTATTTTCATATTTTATGAAATTTTTCAGTATCTTGGTTGTTTTCATCAACATTTTCTTTTATGTGGTATTTGTTTATTTTGTAAAGTTACTTGCGTGAATTTTACTCGTACCATTTTTTTTTCCTTTGGGGGGGGGGGGGGGGGTGATGTTTGGGGTTACAAAGGTCTTAGAAATTGGGAAATGCGAAAAGAGATGGAAGAAAATATCTTTCTGAATTTTATTTTACAGAAATCACTTGAACTTTAAATATGGGAGAATGCTAAAAAAAAAAAATTCCTGAAATAGGAAAATAAGAGAAAAATAGCATGAAATGTGATCATTATCATGTTGTCCTAGTAACTTTTTTGATATACTATTCTTTGGTGAAACAACAAATTTATCATTAATTTAAAATTTGAAATGAAACATGGAGAATAGTGACTACTGTAGAATATAGATGACAATTTTTGTTGGGTAAATGATAAAAATCTAATAACAAATTAGAAATTACAAGTATCTTTTTGAAAAAATAATAATAAAATTTTTTTAAATTATATAAATGAAAATTTGGTTCCTTGACATGTTATGATTCCATTGAAGTTTTTAGGGATCTCTTTATCAATAAATTTTAAATTAAAAAGATCATTTTACTCTTATTAATAAATTGTGATTTCTTATCAATTATTAAGATTCTTTGAATAAAAGTTATGATTTTTTAAACAAAAGTTGTTAATAAAATTTATTATTTTGAGAACTTATTTTTTAATAATAGAAATTGCAGGATTTCAAGAAAACATGACTAGTTTTGAGTTGCCATAATTATTTTGATTAGAATTCTTTAGATTAATGACTAATGCATATTTCCAACAAGTCTTATGAGTTTTCTCCGTCAAAAAATGTAAGTGATTTAAAATTCAACTCCTCAAAAAATTTCTCATATTTTTAAAAGAAAGGAGCATGTCACTTTTTTGACATGATATTAAGAGCTATTTGATTTGGGATGCATAAAAAAGGGGGGGGGGGGAGATCAGAGAAAAAAAATTAAAAAATCAAGGATAGAGAAAACAGGTAGAATGAGGAAATAAAAGCAAAGACGAAGAGAAGAAAAAAAATATAAAAGATAAAATAAATGAAAAAAAGAGGGAATGGTGATTATCAACCTTGAGCCTTTGAGGCTCAAAAGTACAAGCTAAAGAAAAAAAAGAAAAGAAAAAAATGGAGAGAAAATAATAGGAAAAATATTAGAAGAAAAATCTCACAACTAATAATAATAATAATAATAATAATAATAATAATAATAATAATAATAATTAGAGGGTATTTTAGAAATATATTAATTTTTCTATATAAGGAATATATAAACTTAACATGTATCTAACCAAGTGTCTAATTAAAAGAACAAAAACAATAGACTTTACACATTAGATTAATATAAAATTCATTTCGTTTTTTAAAATTTAAAGGAATTATAAGATGATTTAAAAAAAAAATAAGGAACCAAATTGAAAAAAAATAAATAAATTTGAGAGATTAAATTGATAATTGAGATAAATTTAAGAAAATGAAAGTTTTATCATCCCAATGGGCAATGTTCACACTTACTTAATATGAAGAGTTTGACAGGCTTGACTAAATAATATGAAGGGAAATATGCTCAAGTCAAGCTCAAGTGACAGAGTCTCATTAGCGACTTCTAAACCAGTCTTTCTTTACAAGTAATGTCATCTTATATTACACGAAAGACCTTATAATTTAAGAAAATTAAATCATCATATATTAAAAGTATGATTAATTTTCCCGTAACTATCACTCATGACTCAAATGGAATGTTCTTATCACGTTCATTATTTTTTTCTAAGGAACTTTCAGTCGTATGTAAAATGACGAAAAAAGTCAAAATCCTCTTTTCCCATCAAATTAAAAGACACGGCATATTCTTTTCACAGCAAGATGTTGTTGAAAAATTACAAATGCATAAAATAACAGCAAGATGTTATTAAGGAAAACATAATTTTTCCTTTTCTAATGGAAGTATTGGAAAATGTTTCGTGAATTTATTGCTTTATTTCAAACTATTGGCATGGCTAGACCTATTTACCAACTATTGCAACCTATGTCTTTCCATTGATATCATTCTTTTCCAAACATTTTTTCTTTGAATCATTTGAATTAAAACTTGAGACTTTCACTTCTAATGCAATTTGGTGAGAATTTGTATGGAAAAATAGGTCTGTGGAGAATAAAGCCAGATTAAAAATTTTCAAACGAGGTTGTGATGCATCAATTTCAAAATGCGAAAAGCATAGACAAAAGAACTGTAAATGTAAATGAATTAACAGATTCTATTTCTTGAGGGTCCGGTCCAATATGCATTTTCCGGATTCTCAGTATTTTTAGTTTTTATTTCATTTTATATATCCTTGCTTAATATTACTTTATTTTTTTTTTTACATTTCACTTTCATCCATTATCAGCGCAACGCATGCAAATTTTTTCTTTTAAAGTGTATTAATTTAATTTCTAAATAAAATATTATTATTTTCAAAATTAATGAAACGACAGAAAATATAAAATGAAGGGAAAAATGAAGCATGATAAAATTTTTAATAAATAAATTTAAAATAAAAAAGAAGAAACAAAAGTGAAAAAAATTTGAAGTTATGAATTACAAGAAAGTTATAAATAAAAATTAAACTACCAATATGAAGCACAATATAAAATTTGACAAAAAATTACGTCTAGTTATTCTTTAACTTCATGTAAGGTTTTATTTTAGATCTTTAATTTTATAAAATTTTTCTAGTCCTCTAACTTTCACCCTATTAGTTAAATGATTTTTTTTATGAATTTTATAAAATAAATTCAATATGGCAACATTTGATAATGTTTTGTGAACATTTAAAAGTTCATTGTCAACAATTTTGTTAATAGAATTAAGGTATTAAGATTAAAAGGGTTGAAAAAATTCTTCATAAAGTTAAGGAAATAAAATGAATTTGTGAAATGTTAAAGGACAGAAGACATATATTTGCCATAAAGTTTTAAAAACCACTATGGTTTTTAAAGATGTCATTCATTCCAAGATAAGGGATGTAAGCAATGGCGGAGCTAGGACACTAACTTGGGGGTGCAGTTTAATTTAAAAATATTAATATTATAAAAATAAATATTTAATAATTGAAAAATAATTATATACATTACAATAATAGAGGTGAAAAATAATCACAAAAAAAATTAGTATTTTGTGATTTCATGTTTTTAAATTATATTGTTGAGCAAGAAATAAAAAGTAAATAATGAAAAAAATCATTGTGAAAAATTTGGATTTGATTTTGTAATTAAAAGGTAAATAATGATTTTTTTTTATGAAGGTTGTCTCATGTATAGTAAGAGTTTAATATTTTGTGTTAAAATTCATCACGCTTAAACTAAATTGTTATGGGTTTGGAAAATTTGTAATTAATATATTTAGATTTTAATCAGGACTTGAGTGATCTCAAATAATTAGTTAAAGATAAAAGTGTAAAATACAAAGATATAAGGTGTGATTGTGTAAAATATTAAATCTTTCATCATATACTTGTAATTTTAGCCAAATTGAGGGGTGCATTTGCTCCCCTCAATTAGACGTGACTCCGCCACTGAATGTAAGGACCTTACTAGTAAATAATTTATATTTTCACACACACACACACACATAAATAAGAAATTAAAATTATATCATTTTTTATAATTAACTTTTTTAGGTGAAATATATTAATTAATTTTATTAATTATTTGTTTCAGGCATATTTATGACATACGTAGGACTTGATCAATGGAAGCAATTTCAGTGATCAACTGCTCATTCAAAAGGTAACGCACTTGAGCAGTTCTTTAGACATTATCTTTAATGGCTTTGCTATATCCACTTTGACCATCGTAGAACCTGTCCTAGATCATGACTTCGCCATACTTAGAAGACCCTTTGACAGCTAGAAGAACCTGAGACGTTAGAACGTTATAAAACACTGATGTTAGCCGCGTACAATGATGCCGAAATCCCCAAGAACACCAACTTGACTTGCACGCCGGTCCATGGGTTCCATCCTAGGCTGCATAGATATGGGTACAAGTATCCGATACGATACGGCATGATATGGCGATATGACAAATTTTCAAAATTTTAGAGCATCGGTACAGGGATATTTATAATATACATTTCAACATTTTCTGATATAGGTGTATGTATTTTAATTTTTAAACAAGAATTTCTAAATTAATATAAGGATATTTATAGCAATCAACTAAAATATTAAGTGTTTTATCAAGCTTTTAAGTGATATAATAAAAAATTATTCAAAAAAGAATCATGTTACAAATGTTAGAATATGAGATCGAACAAGTAGGTTTTGATCACTGAGTGTACATTGCAGTGCAGCAGAGAGGATCAACTGCTGGTCCAAGTCCTTTAAAGCTTTAGCTATAGATCATCCCAATGCTGGCTTGAACCGGCCACGATATCGAAATCAATGCCATTCAAAACCGTGCATCGCCAAGCAGCAGTGAACATGATTGTTGATGGAATATGGATGAGATTCAATTAGTTGTATTTTAGATATTTAGGATAATTCTGTTAAGATTGTTTGAATAAGGATATTGGACATCCATTAGAATATTTAGGGTTTAATTATAATTTCTTATCTATATTTTTTATGATTATTTTAGATTTTCTTTATTTCCAATAAATAGGATACCTAAATATATAAATCTAGATTCTCTTTTTTTGTTATCTTTTAGGATTATATATGTTAAGATTTCATTTATTATTATTTTA